TGCTTTGTAAGTGATGCGATGAAGGGGATATCGAAAATTATATCGATGAATATATGTTAATGTAGACTCCAATATCATTAAAACTAACGGCAACAACTTTGTTAAACACCATGATTCAATTGGATAAACCAACAGTTGTCTTCCGCGATTCCACCTTTCTGCTGCATTTTCACAAAAGGGGATCAAATTATTACCCTTTTATATATACTCATCAAATGCAACCTTACAAGGCAGTCAGAAATCGCAAATGTCAATTTTTATCCAAAATTTAGTAATAGAATCATGGTTAAACACTAACCAGACATTAAGTAACCGGCCCTTAGAAGATGCATCGATAAATATGTACATACATATATCGATTATATCAGTAACGTCATCTATATGGAGCTTGTATAGAGGGGAGGTGTTATTGTTTTTAAAATAAAAACAATACATAATTGGTGGAAACTCGATTTTTTTTATATTTTTTAACCGTTTTTAATGATTTTTATTTTGTTCAAATAATTGGTTTTCTGTTAATTTTGAGGGTGTAAATTATCTTAAGTGTTTATTCCTGGAGCTTTTCGGCCGGTTTGTTAAAATTATAAAAACGAAGTTTATTTAGCGGCATAAATAATCGTTATTTTTAAATAAGGGCTATTCAAGTATTACGTAAGCAAAGTTTTAGTAATTTTTAACTCCTACCTCACTCCTTGGCAGTAAAAGTAAGTAGAGTTGCCATTTATCTACAATAAAAAAATTTTTAACATGCTATGGGTTTCAAACGAAAGGTGTTAAAATGAAGTCAAACTATCGAATGTGCAAAAATGCATATTGCATCATTTCACTTAACTTACAATATTACCTCATCTTAGTTAACAGACCGGTGTCAACCCTATTTAGAAACATGTTAGTCCAATGCTTATGCGTAGATCTTTCGTGTGATACCCAAATTGGTGGTACTAAATATGCTTAAATTTTTAATAATCATTATACTATTTTTTTAGAGATGGCAACCCAGTTCAAAAATATTTTTAAATATCTTCAAACGCTTTTAGTCCTGATGAAGAAACTGAAATATTTTATTGACCTTTAAATAATTTTAAATTTTCAAATATCTGGCAACCTTACTTCTCAAAATTTTTTACCATCCTTAGTTGAGGGCTTTCCAGGACCAAATTATTCAACACAAATTTGTACAGTTTACATGTATAAATAGTATGTAGATGTACTGAAAGAAAAATTAGGAAGTACTAACAGCAATAATGTTTGCTAATTTTTCATTTAATTTTTTAATAACTTTTATACCCTGAACCATATAAATGCATGCGAACCACAACAAAGCAACTTTCTTTGTATTTTCTAATTTGATTGGCACCGAAAAATTTTTTAGAGGAAATCACTTTTGCCTAGCATTTTTCGGCGGAAATTATATTTTAATGTTTTTCCTGTTTTTCCTTTTAAATTGGCATTTTTTGCTGTCATTCTCCCGTACTTCTCAAATTCTACCGAAATTTTCCATTTTGACCACTCTTATTTTAGACATTTCATCTTTTTACCCCTTGTCCTAATATATTAATTCATTTTGTTTATTTTTCCTTTATACTCGTAGAATGAGTTTCCCATTGCCTTTTGCAAGAAAGTGGTTGGTCGCGAACCAAATGCATAAAAAGTGAAAACAGAAAAAGTAAACCGTAAGAAAACAGTAACAATGAATTTCCACTTTGCGCACTAAACAATTATTTACACAAAAAAAAAAGAAAACAGAAATTCACGAAAGCGTAAAATAAATAAAGAACAAACCACTTGTTGAACCTTTAATAACACTTTAGCCAATTTAGAAATAAAATATGAGAAATATTGCGTACATGAATAATGAAATGGAAGCCGCAATATCCAATGTCATAAAATGAGTTTAAATATTACGAATTATAAAGGCCCTGAACCGTTGGCGTTCTAAAAAGTAAATGCCAAAGATTCTTCGTTCGGGTGATAAAAAAGATGTTTTAAGTTTTTTATTTAAAATCAAAAAAACTAAGGTCTAGTTGGATCACCCTATACATATAATCTCAATTAGAAAGCTGTACACAAATGTTTGGCAATTTAAAAATTGGTCACATATTTTTAGTATGTAATTAAAAAATGTACATAATTTTATGGTTAATTAAAATCTCATCTTAAATTTGTAGTATTTATAAATTAGTCGCAAATAATTTGTTATTTAAAAATTCCACATATTTTTTGGCCAATTAATAATCTGGACATAATTTTTTCATTAACTCAAAAGCGGGCTTGACTATTGTAAATTTGAAAAGTGGATATAATTCAAAAATTGGACAAACATAAAGTGTTGGTAAACTTAAAACTGGTCACAAATGTTTTATGATATAAAAGCTGTTCATAACTTTTAGCCAATTTAAAATACGGATATGATATTTTGATAATGTAATTATTTTTTCGTGAACTAGAATCGGGATATAATTTTTTGTTCATTTGAAAGTTGGATTTACAAACGCAGCTCCTTCATCGTGCCTTTTATCTTTATGATTTACTTACAAAAAATCGAAAGACAAATTTTAACTTATTCGTTCAAATTGTAATTTGCAGTTAAAACAATGAATCTGGCAACACTGATGTCCAGTTTTAATTGATCATGATGTATGACCACTTTTTTTCAACTGTCAAAAAAGTATACATTCTGGTTTTCTTTTAATGCATTCATTTACGCTTTTCAATCTTAATTGGCCTTAAATTTATTTCATATTCGCTTTTATTCCATTCTGATTTCCATTCATCTTCTTTAAATTGTACTTAAGCCCAAAGCATAGCCACTTTGCATGTCCATCGTAAAAATAAGGACATTGAATTACTAATTACAATCAGCTTTGCTGAGCTCGCGCAGTCAGTCGTCAGCGTCAGCAATGGGGATTTGCAGAATGTTTATTTTAATTAAATCCCGTTATTTGCGCTCATCTATTTTCTCTTCTTTAGCTATAAAAATGCCGTATTGCTATCATCGTGACTATCCCCATGTACATAATTTATTCTTAACTTTGTTTACTTTTTCTTCTCTTCTCTTCGTCTCTCGCACAGGGATGAGCAAGAACGTATACGCGGCTATTTTCGTCTTTCCACCAAGCGTTTCCACAAGTCGCGCAGCTGCGTTAGTCACGGCGGCAGTGGCCATACGCCCAGTTCCAGGGAGGATTCCATTGAGAAGGATGACAACACAAATACCACAGCAGCTACTTCGATCCTGGTGAATGGTGAAGAGTACTTGAACGGGGGTGGCAGTATTACCGGTACAGCGCTGGTAACGCGACACGAACTCAACAGGGCGGCCAAGTTTCAGCAACAACAGCAGCAGCATCACCATAACAGCCGACAGCCTGGCAGAGACACCATGAATGGCGGTGCGGCAGGTCAGCATGGCCATGGTAGGCAAGCTTTGGCGAAGGATGTGCGTGTGAAGAAGAATGATGTGAAGATTAAGATAATATCGGATGGCGGAAAAGGCAATAAGTCAGCGTTGGCAGGCGTCGGCAGTGCTGGTGGCCAGCTGCAGGCGCGTCAAACGCCGAAGGGCAGCAGTGTAAGCAGCGGCAGTCGACGCGAGAGTGTTGGCGGTGGCGGTAGCGGAGGAGGAGGAGGAGGAAGCGCTGGTGAGCGCAAATTGACACTTGGTTCATTGGATAATTCCTGCTCGAATATGACCTCCTCGACGTACTGCAATGGCGCCAGTAGTTTGCTCGAGGATGATGGCGGTGCAAGCAACTTTGGCGATGGCGAAGATTCCTCCATAGTGAGTGGCATGATTGTGCCCAGCGGCAGCGGTCAGAGTGCGGTCAACTATACGCAACACAAGAAGTGGAGCCTCAGTGGTCAGCCTTTGTTGCGCAATAAGGATTTATCATTCAGTGATTGCAGTAGTTTCTCGCACATGGACACGGCTAGTACGCTCGAGCGCGATCTGGAGATAATCGATATGTTGGAACGCGAGCGCAGCATGAACATACAGGAGATGATTGAGCGTGAGCAAAATGGCGAAACAGTGCGCATGACGGTGGGTGAACGTCGCAAACTGCCCGATATCGATAAGATTTATCAGCGTTCGCCAAAACCCCAACTCGATCCGTACAGTTACGACGTATCCTCACAAGTCACGCCGACACCCTCAACGGCGACAGCAAAAGATAGCACACCCAACTCGCTGCTGTGTAGTGACCCGCTACAATCAAGTAGTGGTGGTAGTAGCACAACAGAAGCCTACAGTGTTGCATCCACGCTCAGCGGCGAGGAACGTGCAGCGCATGGACTGTCTCGCGACGATGAAGGTGAGAGCGGCATCGATGTAGACGAAGAAGTGCCGTCCGATTTCTTCGACAAGTTTACACCGGGTGCTGGAAACGCTGTGCCTCATGCGGGTAGCGGCGTTGCAGCATCTAACACGCCCACTTCCGCCTACCAGTATCAGTACTCGCGTCGACTTAGCCGCAAATCATCACACCACAGCCAGAACTCAAATTCGCATCGCAACTCGAAGCGAGATAGCTTCAATTCACTAAATAGCAGCGATCTTATTGCGGGTGCGTTCGGTGAATTGGATCCCACGCAACCGTTATCGAAAATGTCTGTGGTTGAGGGCCGAATGCGACGCAGTAGTGGACGTACGTCTAGCTTCTCTTCTTCTTCGGCGCGTAGTTCAATGAAATCGCGTGACTATAGTCACGGTTCGTCGCATTCGGCACATCCAGAGTTGGATTTTAGGGAGAATATTTTCGCCGAACTGTAAAGAGATGAGAGTACGAAGACTCGAGTGTAGGTAGCTCGTTTTCAGGTGTCTATGAAACAGGTTAACGCATGCAACGAAAGAAGGTTTGGAATAAGCTTTAGCTTTTAAATGTTAACATTTAAAGAAATCTTAATATGCATACAAATACAAGTACTACATACAAAGGAAGTCCTGTTAGAGCAGTTTTAGTAATGTAGGTAAGTGTAACTTTTAAATAGAATTTAATGCAGGAAATAAGAGAGGAGCATGAGAAGGAACATTGTGAATAAACGTGAAAGATCTGGTTATATTAAAACACAGATTAGGTCTTAAACTCGGTAGAAGTGATATACATATGTAAATGAGAAACTTGAAAGTAACATCCTTCCCTTTCAAAAGGAGCTACTAAACGCTGTTCAGAACTAAGGAGTACATATGGGAAATAAATAAGTAAGACACGAAGAAATCTTAAAATAGTTTTCATAATACAAAGCTCTGTTAAGGCTGGACAGATCCTACCCGCAAAAGTTAGAAATCTAAGTAGATTCAGTGAATGTATCTCCCTAAGCTCTTAAGGTGAACAAAGTAACAAAGAAAGTTTAGCTCAGAAACCTCATTATTATACTATATTGTGCTGCAGCGTATACCTCTCTGCTGATTATAAGGATATATATCCGTGAGCCAGGCTCTTCAAATGATTTCATAATTTTTCCCAGTACTTAGTTACGGACATTTTAATGTTTTTATGGGGTGTAAAAATTATTTGTGGCGCGGTGGAGGGTGATTTGTACAAAAGTACTTTGCACACTTTACGATAATAGCAAGATCAATTTCAGCTGCGTCCTCAGATCCCTATAAAAGTTGCTGGAAAAGATAGTAAACGTTTTTTGCTAAAATTTGCTATTTGTGCCACTTTCACTAAGGAAAGCAAAATTATGAAATTGGTAAAAATTGGCTAACTGCCACGCCTACTACACTAGAGGGCGAATATGGTAAAAGCTAATCCTCCAAACTAGCAAAAATTTATTGCAAGATCTATTTTTGTATGAAAACCCAGAAATATAAAAAAAAGTGTGGATATCGACCAGCCCCGCCCTCCCTCTCCAACACTAGTGGACGGGACCGGGAAAATACTACCCGATTTTATTAACATCGATTTGTATTTTACAAACCGATTTTAAATGCAATCGGATAACATTTCCCATTCCCGCCTACTAGAGAGGTGGAAGAGGGCATGGCTGGTCGCAAATTCACACAATTTGTTATATATTTGGGGGTTTTTATAAAAAAATTGATCTTGCACCAAAGGTTTGCTATTTTGGATGATGGTTTGTGGGCGTGGCAGTTGACCGATTTTTCCCATCATTCAGATCTATGTCTGGCTAGGTTAATCTAATTTACGAATCGAATTTCATTGAAATCGGATAAAATTTACCATAACCGCCGCCTAGTGTAGTGGGCGAGTCAGTCCGTTAAATTCGATCATTTTTTTCATATTTATATATTCCTAGGCAAAAGTATTCCACGTTAAAATGTTCAGCAAAATCGGTGCACATTCATTACTTTTCGCCATATTTTTTATGGAGTTCTTCCACTGTGCGAGGCTTGTTCAATAAACTACAGGAGCTCATCATACAGCGAAAATTTTTTTAATTTGATGGTAGTTTCGAGACCAATATTCTGAGTAGAGCGGTCTGGGTAGAAGTCCATTGGGAATACGGCTGTCTAAAGTATGCTTGAAATAAGCTAAGCTACTAAGAGAGCACAGCTAAGGAATGAGGATTATAACTTGCCGTAATTAAGTTGCGGAATTTCAATCGATATACAGAACAGTTACTTGGCTTAGTAAGGACATTGTAAGATGCGGTTTGGAAATCCCAGTGATATTTAATCGTACGAATAAATCACTTTATATGATACTGTAGTCAAAAAGTAGTGAAATTGGGTTTACGGAAAAATGTGCTAATTATTAGTATAGTGTTTATAAATACAGTGACTCAAACAAATGACCACGTGTTGATTTTCCTCAAATATTCGTAATATTTTTCGAGCAACATTTCTTTTGTTTTTTAAATATCGTCCATGTTTTAACCAAAACCATATAAATCACAGTTTCAAACTTGATACAAAATTTAGGAAAACTTTTTCATCAAAATTTAAACTTTTTATTCTAAATTTTTAGAATTTTTTTTGGTATGCAGTTTAATAGCCCATACAATTTTATGGTGATTTCGTTTCTACCAAAAAAATGTTGCCCTTGCACGGTGCAAAATATGCTGGAATGTTTGCCTTCTTGTCCTTGTCCACTCACGTATTTCATCATATTATCGTTTTAAGCAACCATTTTTTTTTATGACGGATTTTTGCACTTTTTTTCATATAAGTATGAATTTCTTATGAAAAACACAAAAGACCGTCAGCAACAAAATTTCAAAATATCAACGCAAGTTCTTGTAAACTGCGCTTGTTATATTAAAAAACGCGAAAAAGTAGCCTAAAAAAATTATCAAAAATCAACTCGATTTTTTAGCCGTTTGAAACTTCATTTTATTAAAATTATTGGGTATTGCATACACAAAAATTTTCTAAAAATTCAGAATAAAAAGTTGAAATTTTGATTAAAGTTTGTTGAATTTTCCTAAATTTTGTATAAAATTTGAAACTGTGATTTACACAGTTTTGGTTAAAGCTTAGCCGATATTTTTATATAAATATAACAAAAAAAATTAGTTGGAAAATATTACGAATATTAAAAACAAACAACACGTTTTCATTTGTTTGAGTCACTGTATATGCAAGAAACGCGTAAATCAGGGGCTGAAAACAACCGTTAAATATCGAGATCTTTATTTTTAGGTCATAGAAAAATTGTTACTTTATCGGATAATAATCATAATTTAATGGTTAAAATTGGATTTCTACTTTTCCGATGAAGTTTAGTCGTTCTTTTATAATTCTTATTTTTTCAGTCAAATTTGGATTTTTGTATTTTCGAAAAATTTTAGACCGTTATAATAAAGATTGCTTTTTTATGATCGAAATAAATCGTTTATGATCTAAAAAATTAAATCTGAAAATAACGATTTTCATATGTTCGAAAAATTATAAATCAAAAATATCGATTTAAAATTTAACGAAAAATCAAAATCGAAAAATAACGATTATTCTTGATCGACAAAATAAAAATCATAGAATAACGGGTAAACTTGATCGGTAAAGTGAAAATTTAATTTGACGGTTAAATTATAATTTTTATTATAAACATCCGTATAACTTTTGCGGTCCCTGGCGTGAATAAATTAATTTTGTACTTTGCATAAGTTTTTGTTAGGTTAGTAATTGGTGGAACAAAATAAATCTATTTATAATATTTTTATACGGTAGAGTGGAGGTTATACGGTAGGCGTCAGTGTAAACTGAAATTCATTTTGTAAGAAACTGAAATAAACTAGAAAATGGTTGCATTTTAGGATAAAAATGTAATGTGTAAGTTGATAAGTTTAAGAAGTATAAGAAACCTATTTTATACATACGACATCCATATGATTGTATGTATACTAGGGTGGTCCGTTATTTTGTGCTACGTACAAATTAAAACATAAGCGAAAATTCCAAAAATAAAAAAAAATTTTAGAAGTACCTACCAGAATTTAAAAAAAAATCGACAAGAAAATTTTGAGTTTGACCAGCTATAACACAGCGTGTTGAAACGTATTTATATAAATTGGCGATGTAATTTTTTTTTCAAAACCTGGTAGTGGCCCCAAAAGTTTATGTAACATGAAGTTTTCGTTGGTGTCTCTATTTTGTATGTAGAATAAAATAAAGGGGTGCCCATTTAGGTCTGACATTTTAAGGACCACCCTATTGTATGCCTGTAGTTGATAGTGGTAACTCTTGAAATCTAAAATTTTTCCTATGTATTAGTTCACACTACGATTTCCTGTTGAAAGTAAAAGGTAAATATTGAAATTTTTTAAGCATTTTTTACGAAAAACTTCTATTGTAAGTATGCTAAACGAAACTTCTAGTTGAAATGTTAAATCAAATTCAAACAACTAATTAAGATGTTAAATGATAATATATGTAGATACATACATACAAAATATTATAATTAATTGTTGCGTTTTTGTCAATGTTAATGTGAAAGCACAAACTACAATAAATATACAAAAAAATATTTCAATATGTCTGGCATGAAAATAAAATAATAATAAAAAAGTATACATTAATTCTTTTATATAAGCTTTTCTAATAATATTGTGAAAACATGTTTTTATATGTTAAAATGTAATTTAAATGAAAAGTCAGTTAATTAAAATAAAAAATAAAAGCCATGCATGGCATTCAATAGCACTTAATTAAAATCGGTACATGCATACAAACATATGTACATTGTAAATACGTAATTTACATGTATGTGTATAGAAATGTGGATCAATAATTGTATATCAATAAGTACATATGTGCCAAGTCTTTAGTTGCTAATTTTTTAAAACCGAACTAAAAAAATTTATAAATTAAAACAAAAATGTGTTGTTAATGGAAATAATTGTATTCAAATTTGTCTAAAAAAATTTTTCAAATGTATGTACATACGTGGGTGCATTTACCTTTTAGGTTTAACATAACGGTTTATTTGTAAATTGTGTGACTAAAATATTGTTGTGATTTATACATATAAAATAATTTCATGAAAACAAAGAAAGAAAATGTGAATGTTAAATTTTTACACATACATACTTAAATAGACAACAAGAAATATAAATTACAAATTACTTAATTACTTTGCAGAGTCTAATAAAAACCCGTACTTATTTAAGTACTTACTAAAGTGAAAAAAGGTTTATACTAAAAAAAAAATTGTTATCTATTTGACTAAAACTGACTCTAGGGACCGGCGCATATTATTACTAGTGACATTATTCTCCTTACTGTTCTCTTTTTCAGGCGAATACCTTAATCCAACAAGCCTAGTGCTAAAAGAGCTCAGTGGTAAAGTTTCCAGTTTTTTGACCGAC